TCCTTTCAATTTAGTTAACCTGAATAAAACAGAAGAACTTTTATTTACATGTTTCATGATTATTCCTTTCAATTTAGTTAACCTGAATAAAACAGAAGAACTTTTATTTACATGTTTCATGATTATTCCTTTCAATTTAGTTAACCTGAATAAAACAGAAAAACTTTTATTTACATGTTTCATGATTATTCCTTTCAATTTAGTTAACCTGAATAAAACAGAAAAACTTTTATTTACATGTTTCATGACTCCTTCTCTCAAGGACGTTGGTGTAGCTAAAACATAAAGAACTTAATTTATATGTTTCTTAACTCCATCCCTCAAGTAGACATCTAAAAAATAACAGGGAAACTTACCATCGTGATTCGTGGATCGTCCACTCAAAGTTATTAGCTGAGAAAGAAATATATTTATGCTTCTGTAGCTCTGTCATTAATAAACAAAATTATGTTTTTTATTGTTTTGTAATCAGTTTATGTCCTTATTACAATCTGTATGCAACTTCGTGTAAAAGTATGAAAGTACGTTTCATGGGTGTTACATTATTGCTATAACAGTTTGATAATATACAATACAGTAACCGTTGTTACGTCACAGCGATGTTTTTGCTAAACTGTAAAAAATAGCTTTAATCCCCAATTTTTTTGTCCATTTTAAAATGTAATTGTCATAGCTACGTCTGGTTTTAGTAAAATGTATAAAGAATTCTATTAAGCATGGATTTTGTTGTTTCCTTGTGTACGAAATGGGAAGTAAAGTTTTTACTTTGGCCTGACATCTGAAGACAAATCGCAACATTTCACTTCTTTGGTTTTGTCACTCACAGAAAGACATTTTTACCGATTTGAAGTAGTCCTTAAACAAATACTTAGTAGCAGAGCGGTATGTCTGCGGATTTACAACGCTAGAAACCGGGTTTCGATACCCGTGGTGGGCAGAGCACAGATAGCCCATTGTTTAGCTTTGTGCTTTACTTTAAAACAAACAAACAAATACTTATTTATCATTGTTTTAATATATGCCCATTTCAGGTTTGTTGCGAATTAGAAAAGGCGGAATAAAGATGCTGAGATTACATTGAGAAGGATTTTTCTTTCAATATCCCTCTCACGATGCGACTCAGCGTTTGAAGGCTTATAGCACTATAATTTGGAGTTCGATCCTTGTAGTGGGTAAGGCGTAGATAGCCCTTTTTGCAGCTTTGCGCTTAAACACAAACACAAAGATATTTCATTCACGAAATGAAAGGTTGGCTTATGCTTACGTGGGTTGGAAGAGTAATGATACTGTTATATTTGACATGTTTAAAACTTAAAGTAGTACTCAACATACAAAAAGAAAATAATAAAGCGATTGTCTTTAAATAATATTATTTGTTATACATATGGTTCTTTGTTTATATTTTTTGTACACTAAACTTTGACGTGTTCAATACTTATAACAGGATTTAACACAAACAAAAAGTGAATGTGGCTTACCAACCGGAAGTTCAGTTTGATATCACGTCACAATAAGACATAATCATTTTTATCACATTTTATTTATTAAAATAATTCAAGCTTCGCCAGCCCATGCCACCAAACAACGTAATGGGTGTATGCGTGTAACGATCATTCTAAGCATAAAAATTTCATCTTTTTGTAGACAATATGGTGACCCTTTGAAGTTAGACTGTATTTAAATTAAAACTTAAAATTTTCTCTTCCCCCCTCTCTCTTTCTATACATATATATATATATATGTGTGTGTGTGCATATAAAACATAAATACTACAGGTTTCTGTAAATTCAATGACCCCCGTGAATGTTTTTATAGAATACGAACAGCGTTTGATCCTCTACAATATTATATTAGCTTCCGTTTGAGACTTTTCAGTGCTTTATATTGGGGACGAAAACTATGGTAGACGTGTTTCATAGCCAATCTTAAAAAATACTGCTATGATCATATTAAAGATAACTATTAGGATTGTAAGAATAAGTATCATCAGTCAAGAACATCAGTAGGAAGAAAACAGAGATAAGAATTTTATTTGTTATTTTAAGCGGAAAGATGTACAACAGACTGTCGGTGTTGTGTCTACTGCAGGGTTCGAAACCCAAATTTTAACTTTATAAACCTTTAACTTTACCATTGAGCCACCCGGGGGTATACGGTGAGAAAAAGTCTGTTTTTTTCCCTCTAGTCTTTATATATATATTCTCATCGTACCGCTAGAGACTCATTCTCAAATGATTCCAATATTATACAGTAAGATAAAGATGGTACTTTCACAGAGTTATATATCCAGTTGACGAATAAAATCTTCAAAAAGTAATTAAAGTACTCTTTAAACAATCCCTCTAGTCTTTATATATATATTCTCATCGTACCGCTAGAGACTCATTCTCAAATGATTCCAATATTATACAGTAAGATAAAGATGGTACTTTCACAGAGTTATATATCCAGTTGACAAATAAAATCTTCAAAAAGTAATTAAAGTACTCTTTAAACAATCGATTTTGGAGATAGACAGAGATAAATGAGTAAAATACATTTTTTTAGGTGATGTATCACACAGAGATACTGTTGCTGCCAAACTAAAACGTTCAATCCCCACTTATACCCGCTCTAGGAAGGATCAGCGTTGATCGAAAACTCACATTAGTTTTAATACCGGATATTTCGATGCTAACGGAACGTGACCTCTCAATCAACTAAAATGCGAAGTAATCTAATAGAACGCCTATTTAATTCTATGTGTAAAAAAAGTACTACAAGTGCCAGACTTAGAATGAAAATTATTCGCGTTTCAACTTCGTAAGTTTTTATGAAACTTCTATTAGAAATCAGGTTTTGCTTATTCTAAAATCGACTCTCTTCTACTACTTTTTGTATTTTGAAATATTAAAAAGTTTCGGATTTCGCTGTGGCTTTTGAACAAACTGAAAGTCTTTTGTTATTGCGAAAACAACAATCGCATTAAAAATAATGCAATTAGAGTAGAACATCTGCTTCAAAGGAAAAAAAAAAGGTTTTTTGGTTATCTTGAAAAACAGTCACGATAAAAAAATTTTTGTTATTGTAGAATAACAACAACGATAAGAAAAAGTTTTGTTATCGTACAATAATAATCAGATTAAAAAACATTAATATTTGTGCAACAGTAACAGAAAAAAGATTGTAATTACCTTAAAAACATTCTTGTTTAAAAAAAACATTGCTATTAATGTACAATAGCAACAACAATAAAAGGGTTGTCGTTCTCGTAAAACAATAAACAGGTTAAAAAGACAACAAGAAAAAAGAATGTGGCCACGTTGATGGAAATATTTTTTTTACTGTAAAATACACAACGAAAACGAAGGTTGTGGTTCTCGTAAAGTAACAATCACATTGAAAAACTCCCGTTGTTACTGTACAAGAGCGCAACAAGAAAAAAAGATTGAGGTTTTCTTGAAACAACATTTAGTTTCAAAAATATTTTTACTACTTTGAAATAGCAACGACAAGTAAAAATATTGTGGCTATCGAAAAACAACGTTCATATTAAATACGGTTGTGTTTACTGCAATATAAAGAAGGTGATTCGTTTACTTTTCAGTTCACTGCTTTTAGTTTACTAACGCAGCTTAGTACAACAGTGTGGCTACGAACACACAAAATGCCTGTTATTTGTGGTATCTATAGTAATATAGGGTGTGCATAATTTATTACACAAGAAATATATGGTACAAAATGGAGGTAATTCATGAATCGTGGAAGTCTGTATTCTTAGTGACTATAGGTATAAATTGCAATATAGATATCCTTTAGCTGTAGCTGATTGTAACTTCTTAGTTTGT